GGCTTAGGCGATTCTCTTGCCTCAGCCTCCTGAGTAGCTGAGACTACAGACGCCTGCCACAACACCCAGCTATTTTTTTGTTGCAGTTTGGCTGGGGCCGGGTTTGAACCCGCCACCCTGGATATATGGGGCCTGCGTCCTACTCACTGAGCCACAGGCGCCGCCCTTGTGTTCAGGTTATTGAGTTCAGGTCAGTACTAGGGGGCTTTCCTGTTGCTGTGTGTGGTTGGAGTTCTGTGTTCTTGTGACCCCTGCCATATGTGTGTGCGAACCACCTGTTGTTAACAGCTGCTCTCTGGTTATAAGCAGGGCATGAGAGAATCCTACATGTGACAGCACCACTCATCCGTATCAGGAGGTTGATTAAGACATGTCTTTTTCCTGATTTTTAATATTTGCTCCACAGGTTCAAAGAAACCATCAGAGAAGAGGGAAATGCCACTAACTCAGCCCCACCAATTGGGCTTTCTTCCTTCTGTTGTAGATTCTGGGATTTGGAACGAGGAGAGAATTACATACTGAGTCCAGACGAGAAGTTTGGTTTTGAAAAAGGAGAAAATATAAACTGTGTCTGTTACTGTAAGGTCAAAGGTGAGACTTCCCAGCCTACTACAAGAGAAGCAAAGCCAGCTTTATGCATGGCGCTCAGGCTACAGAATAAATATGGTGAAACCTGGGGGCTGTTCAGAGAAGAGAAACTCGGTCATAACTAACATCAGTCATTTGAATAAAGTCAGCCAAGGGTGAGCAGGAGACTCTGAAGCTGTGTTATTCATGGGAAGACTAGAGGGGCTGGTCAAAAGATGACAAACTGACCACGTGTCTGTCCTGAAACCCCACAAGACAGTGCAGGGAGTATATGTGTGCACCTATACAAAGGACAGAAAGAGCCAGAGCTCAAAGGATACAGGAGCCAGAGCTATGTTCCTCTGATGCCTGCTGCATGCTAAGCACATTTAGAGCACTGCGGTGGCAGCCCTAAGCAAGGCTCAAGGAAACAGAAAAACATAGAGAAAAGGCAGTGGCCCCCACCCTAGTACTGTCCTGCCAGGGAGTGGTAAGCACCTGTGAGGAAAGGTACAGCCAGCAGAGAAGCCAGAGTGGCCCTCGACAGGGCAAAGGCTGTCAGAGTGTAGAGGTAGTAGAGAAGGGAGCCCATGGCTACTTTTATTCCTCCTTCCCACAAGTTAATATGCATTTTGTTCTCATCTCTAGGGCTTCTTGCAGCTGGGACCAATAAAGGACGAGTAGCCATGTGGAGAAAAGCACTGGGCACTCCAAGCAACCGAGGTGGGGAGGGCAAGGACAGGTGGACACTTCAAACTCCCACCGAGCTCGAAGGGAACATTGTGCAAATAAAGGTATGACTCTGCAGGGCACCCAAGGCACTCATTTTTCACTGCACAAAAGCCAAGGGGAGTGGCCAGGCGTGGTGGCTCAAGCCCATAATCCCAGCACCTTGGGAGGCCAAGGCAGATGGATCACTTGGGCAAACCTAGGATTTAAAGGCTGCAGTGAGCTATGATAGAGCCATTGCACTCCAGCCCAGGCAACAGAGTAATACCTTGTCTCAAAAAAAAAAAAAAAAAGTAGAGGAAATAATTGGCTTTGAACCTATTTTTATCAGTTATTCAATTTGAGACTCTATAAAAACTAACAATAATAAAAAAAGTTTTTAAGTCCTTTTGGATTTTCAAATCACAGATAAACAATTAAGGACTTACTAATATTTATCTGTCTGTCTACCTGTCTACCCATCTACCCATCCTTCTGTCTGTATCTGTTTCTATTGATATGTATCTATATATATTAAAAGGAGCTTTATTGGGATATAATTTACCTACCAAATAGGTTTTGGTATATTCACAGTTTTGCAACTACAATAAATTTTAGACATTTTCATCACCCCAAAAGAAATCTGTACCCTTCAGCAGTCATTTCTCAAGACTAGCCCTAGGCAGCTACCAATCAATTTTCTGTCTCTAAGGATTTGCCTGGTCTGGACATTTCTTCCAAAGGAATCATACAATGTGTGTTCTTTTATATCTGGGTCATTTCACTTAGCATGATGTTTCATCCACACTATAGTTTGTGTCGGAGTTTCATTCCTTTTTATGGCTGAATGCTATTCTGTTATATGGACAGACCACATTTTTATTTATCCATTCATCAGTTGATAGATATTTGAATAATGCTACTGTGAACATTTGTGTACAAGTTTTACTGTATGGACATATGTTGTAATTTCTCTTGAACATCTGATCTGATTCTTTTTTATAATTTCTGTCTACATATATTCTCTATTTGATGAGACATTGTCATAATACCTTCCTTTGCTTCCCTAAGCATGGTTTCTTTAGTTCTTTGAACACATTGAAAGTGGCTACTTTAAAGTCTTTGCTAAGTCCAACATCTGGACCTTTTCATGGGAGTTTCTGATGCCTGTCTGTTTTTTTCCTATATGTGGGTCATTTTTTCCTGTTTTGCATATTTCTAATTTTTTGTTGAAAACTGAACAAAGATAGATTGGGAGAGGAAAGCTGGGTGATTTAATGCATTGTGAAAATTGCCAACCATTTATAAAACATAAATATCCCTATGTCACACTTAGAAAATCAAATCTAGAAGACACCCCTCCCAGTCAGAACAGATACCAGTGAGAATAGCCACACAAGTGTCTACATATGGACATGCACATCAGTGGAGTGTTCACCACCACTGAGTCTCAAGTCTTGAGTATGAGTGTTTTAAAATTTTTTTTAAAAGCATGCATTTTGCCTTCGTAAAAATTTTTCAAAACCATTTTAAACAAGAAAAAATGGCGCTTAAAAAGTGGTTTATGACTCCTTATGTGTATAAACATTCCACTAACTGTATCTTTCCTTTGCTGTGTTCACACATTTTGTTTTTTTTCTTCCAACATGGAAATGAAGTGGGGCTCCAAGAAGAACCTCCTAGCGGTAAAGAACGTTAGCTCCGTGTCAATCCTCAGCGAGCAGGCCATGGCCTCGCACTTCCACCAGCATGTGGCTGCTGTACAGGTCTCCCCAAGCCTACTCAACGTGTCCTTCCTATCCACAGGGGGAGCACACAGCCTGCACGTGGACATGCACATCAGTGGAGTATTCACCACCAAGGTGACTACTGGGGCAACATCTGGGTCAGATGATGGATCTTTAAACCTACACAAGAGACCTGCTCAGTTGGTGGGCAATTCAGGATGCAAGGGTCTGGGTGGCAGGTTAGGCACTCATAGTTCCACTTGGATCGTTTGTATGTGTATCTCCACATACATCATGTCTATAAAATAATAATAACTCGGGTATTTTACATAACATGAAAAACATCCTTAACCTATGTCCACAAAGGACTCAGTGACCCAATGTTAGTGTGATGGATTATCAATATTCAGGAATATTTAAAGGAGAAAGAAGGGCCTGGAGGTGTGTAGTGGGATCTACAGTCTCCATCTCACTTTTCCTGTTCATTTTAGGATGCTGTTGCCGTCTGGAATGGAAAACAGGTGGTGATTTTTGAGCCTTCTGGAACCACTTTACGGAATGCAGGTAGGTGGGAGTCTTTTCAGCCCCACAGAGGGAACTCACAGTGCCCAGCTTTATTTTCTCAGCACCCAGTGAGAAGGGCGCTGGTGCCTGTAGTGTGGTCAGGAGGTGGCCCAGGGGCTGGATAGGCACTTGGGTCAGTCCTTGTGCCTGTGCCTACATTTCTAGAGCCAGTATTTCAGCTCTGCCCTATACTGCCAGAGGAGTTAAAGTGTGGCCAGATGGGGCCAGCAAGCCCTCCTGACTCCTGGATTCCTAAATGTCTCAAAACTAAGGCTCCACGAGCATAAACAACAGTGCTTTTGTGGAAGTTCCTTCCAGGGGAGTGAAATGACTCTTGTGAAATGTCTTCTGAAATGTTTCCAGCTTCATGGTGTCTTGATCAGGGCCAACTACTATCTAAATTTTTCAGGGTGGCTCTTCAGTCTCAAACTCCTTTTCATATCCCATCCATCTCTCTAACTCTCTCTGTTTAATTTGCTTGCCTTTAGCCTCCTGTCTATGGCACGTGCCTATGTGAGTTTCCTGGGACTGCTGTAAAAAATTACCACAGCAAAAACTTATTTTCTTTTCTTTTTTTTTTTT